AAAATCGGCATCATACACATTTTAAAGGTGGCAGGTGCATTACACAGACCAAAGGGCATTCTTTTGTAAGCATATATGCCATAAGGGCAAGTGAATGTTGTTTTCTCTTGGTCTCTAGGGTTTATTGGAATTTGGAAAAACCCTGAGTATTCATATAGAAAACAGTAATAAGGATGATTGGCAAGTCTCTCAAGCTTTTGATCAATGAAAGGAAGTGGAAAATGGTCTTCTCATGATGCAACATTCAACTTCCTATAATCAATGCACATTCTATTCCCTGTTACAGTCCTAGTGGGTATGAGCTCATCCTTTTCATTCTTTACCACTATCATACCACCTTTTTAGGCACCACATGTACAGGGGAAACCCAGCTTGAGTCATAGATAGGATATATTGTTCCTGCATCTAGGATATATTGACCACCTCCTTAAGGTTTAGGTTTAACCTTCTTTAATGTTCAATGGAGGACATAGACTATTCTTCAAGATCGATTATGTGGGTACACAAGCGAGGAGAGGTCCCTCTAATGTCATCTAGGGAATATACCCTATGGCTTTTCTATACTTCCTAAGCTCATGCAACATGGCTTTATCTTCATGCTCTAACAATCTATCATTGATGATGACAGATATGATGCATTGAGTCCAAGAAAACCATACCTGAGCCCCTTTAGGAATGGCTTTAGCTCAACAGATGGAGCTTTGTGTTCGTCCCAATCTCCCATGAAACTCTCTTGATCAGCTTGAGCTTCATTGCTGTTGGTGTCCTTAGCTGGTCTAGCCTCTTTCTCAGCACTTAAACCCACAGCCATGCACTCTGAACCACTTGGCCGCTTGTCTCCAGCTCCAAAGGCTTATTTTCTGATCATGATGGCTTGTGAGAATCAAGAAGTTTCATGTACCCAAGTGTGTCATCCTCCAAGTACCCATACTCACCGTGCTCTTTAGTCAAGGCAATTTGAAGATGATCTTCAGTGTTCAACTCCTCAAGAAGCTCATCAGCAAGCTCCTCCATAGATTGTATATAGAATACCTGGCCCTAAATGGTAGGTTTCTTCATAGCTTGACATCAAACTTGAGGACCTCTGATCCTAGATGGAGATCTATCTTTCCTCCTTTCACATCAATTATGGCTCCTACTGTAGCAAGGAATGGTCTCCCCAAATTAAGAGGATCTACAGGCTCTTCATCCATCTCCAAGACAATGAAGTCAGTGGGGAGTTCAAAATCTCCAATTTTAACAGGTAGGTCTTCAAGTAGTCCAATGGGGAGCTTAAATGATCTATCAGCAAGCACTAAAGATATCCTTGCTAGCTTGTAGACTGTGAACCCCAACTTCTTTGCAATTGAAAAAGGCATTAAACTCACTAATGCTCCAATATCACATAGGCAGCTGGGAAACTTAATAGGACCAATAATGCAGGGCAATGTAAAACTCCCTGGATCAGATAACTTCCTAGGGATTGTACTTCTTTGAATAATTGCACTACACTCATGGCTGAAGACTACCATTCCTTGTAGTTCTCTTGACTTGTTCAAAATAGCATCTTTTAAGAACTTTCCAAGTTGGGGAACCATAAGAAAGGCTTCTATGATAAGCATGGTGAACTGAGTCCTCAGCAATACTAGAAAATATCTATTTCTTTGTGTCGTCTGGGAACATTGTTGGATGAGCAAGGAACGGAGTTGTGCGAGCCGAGTTCCTGTTGTGTTAAGCATGAGACTGTCCGAGGAACGGAGTGGTCTCTCCGAATGTTGAGCAAGTGCAGCTCTTCCCCTTCGTTCCTTTGCTGACCAACCAGCAAATACTAATACTCCGCAGGCTCACCAAACAATTGTTGTTTAATGGGAATTGTTGTTCATGAGCAAGCCAGGCGTTCCTCTCCTATTAGTCGAGTAATTGGCGTTCCTCGGGCGTAGTCGTAGACGGGTTCCTCCGAGTGATCGGCTGAAGAGTTCCCCGCAAGCCCAGCTAATGGAACACTGTCCCTGCTGCTTTCAGTTGGCTTCGCTCCTCTCCCTCTGTCCGGAATAGGTTGCGGGTGGGGGAATGAATCTCTTAGGTTCTGATTCCCTGTAGAGAGCGTAGGCTAAGCGGGATGGTACAGTCGAAGATGGGCCGATTGGCCTAGTTATCGGCTAAGGGATTGCAGCTGCTGTCATAAATCTATCTCTTTTCCTTACCTGGGAATGCCTAGCCATGGATGTGAAGTAAGTAGGTTGATAGCCGCCTTGCTCCTTTGTATACATGTCGAAGGGGTAGCTGTGGAGCACTCCGGTATTGCTGCTGCTGTGATGAATGAGTCTCTCTCTTGCTTACCTGGGAATAAGTAGCATGAGCAAGTCAGTTAAGTGAGCGAAGCGGAGGAGAACCTCTGTTGCTTCACGGGCTGCTTGCTGTTCTTTCTCATGTGTAGGGAACTCGTTCTCCCGTGTTGAGCGTAGCGTGTACTGAGGGAAGGACGAGTTCCCGGCTAGTTTGCCTGTCTTTGTCCGGGCATTCCTCGCATTACTAAAGAGTATTCCTTCTCTTTGTTCGGAATGTGCATGAGGTAGCAGCTAGTATGGGTAGCTCCCCTTGCTGTGATTCTATGGGAATGTTGTTTGTTCGCTTACCCCTAGTTGGATTTGAACAAAGAACCTCTCACTTGGCATGTAAGGTCAGCTCTGAAGGCTTTTCTTGTTTTGCTGTTTCCCTTCGTGTCTATCTATTCTTCCCCTGGGACTGTTGCATGAATAAGTCAGGTAGTTGCTTGTAGCTGTATTGCTGTGCCTGCATGACGAAGTATGGGACCAGTGCTGTCTCTTAATCTCTTCCGAGTTGGATTAGGTATACTGCTACCCTTCCCTGTAATTCCGTGTAAGGAAGGTTAGTAAGCAGCCTTATTTGTACCTTAGCAGGCTTCGCTCCTCTAGTTGTGAGAAAAGGTATTGCATTGCCCTTCTCAATCCGACAGAGAGCTCATCCCCGTCTCACTCACCTGGAACCCACCCTAGGCCCGGCTGGCAAGCAACACTTGAGACTTTCTGTGCAAGGCGTTCCTCGTAAGAAAGATCCTATAGTTGGCAAAGGCTAACTTGTTTCGAACTTATTAGAATCCAATCCTATAGTAGGCTAACCTGTTTCGAACGGATCCAATCCAGCCCTGTAGGCTAAGGCTAACCTGTTTTGAACGAGGAACGCCTAGTTACTCTAGTATTCAAACTAACATTAGTATGTCTTATTGACAAACTTTCCATCATTGTTGATGATCTTTTCAAACAAGCACAAGCTTATCGGCAAATGTCTCTTCTATTACGAAGACCGCCTGGTCCGTGTGAGATGTTTTTTATTTACATTCCCGTCTTTTAGAACGCTAAATGAAGCTCTCAATTAGGTGAAGGTAGCTCAGGAGCAGCCTTACCAATCGTCGAGACCCAGTCAGGGAGATGTTTCAGCTTCCTACTAATGTAATTTCCATTACAGACGGACAAATATTCTTATCCGCCGATCTATTTAATGCTGGAATCAGACCCGCTATTAATGTAGGGATCGAGTGCTCCTGTGGCGAATCAAAATGGATCTTTTTGGTTGCGCCTGCGTGGCCTGCAATGATAGATCCGGATTTACGTGGATAGTTATGATAGCAGTTCGAGGTAAAGGTTCAGCTTAGAGGGAATGGGATCAATGGGGGCACCTTCCAGCTCAGCTTTGTCATCTAGCTCGGGCAGTTCCAAAAGAAAAAGAGGGTAAGACGACGAGAAGACTCCCAGCCAGAAGGTCTCCAAACAAATATCGCCCTAGAAGGCGTAGGCATGGAGCGAATAGAATAACCTCTTATGTAACTTCTATCACTAATCCCAGGGGGGGCAAGAAGACGAGCCTTCTCTCCTTCATCTAGACAATCTTCCCATGATCCAATTTCATCAGCCCAAGTCACTGAGGATTTGCCTTCGCGGAAATACTAGACTTCAAGGCTGCAGGAGAGCACTTCTACCAATTACCTATAAAGGCGGCCAAGCTCACTTCGCACCAAACCAACAATCTGCACGCTTAGCCGCATTGTTCATCTTGCCTTAACCCTACCCGAAGGAAGGCTATGAATTGAGCTAACGCCCTCTGTAACAGCTTAAATGATATAGAAGGGGGTTGATCCTCGATTCGATTCTCGTGTTGCGAGTGTCGTGTCTCGCGTTTCGAATTCATTTCGATTGGGAAAGTGAGCCGATCCAGACCTAATTGATCTGGTTTCTGAGAGCACTGACAAGGCTAAACTCGCCGGTTGAAGAGAGCACTGAATCATTCGAAAGGGGAAGCCTCGACTGGAATCCCTGCGGCAGCGGAGGAATACCTACAGATTGCTCGCCTTAACCTTAAGATTGCTAGAAAATATCTAATGCAGGAGAATAACTAACAATTTATGTGGAATACTATTTCATTTCGGGGGTATATTGCTGAGGTTGCTGAGCATATTGCTGAGGTTGCTGAACAAATTGCTGTTTGCTCTAAAAGTTCCCTTGAAACTGATTCTTGGGAACATAGCTTTGCTGAGCTATTTGAGAGGGATAGACCTGATCTCCTGGATTAGCTACATTTGGATTTCTGTATAACAATTTTGGGTTTATAGTTGTTATACCTCTGAAACTTGTTTTGATTTCCAATGTAATGAAGCTCTTCTTGTGTTAATCCCTACTCTTTCACATTCTCAAACAAGTAGCTTGGTCATCAAATTCTCCAAAAAATGCATTGGCCTTTGAGTAGCCACTAGTACCTTATCCAACTTGCTCTGCAGCTCCTTGATGTCTTTTCTCATCCTTTGTTTCTCACTAGAGCCATCTCCTCTATTAGGTATTTCATAGTCCTCTCCATAGGTGTCATTACTCATAGCCAAGTTCTCCACCAGCTCCATAGCTGCATTGATTTCTTTGGCAAGGAAGTTTCCATTTGAAGCTGTATCCAACTGACTCCTGACCTTGGGGAGAGCACCTCTGTATAGAATGCTAAGTAGAGAAGCCTCAGAAAAACCATGATGAGGGCACTCGTTTGTATATCTTCTAATTTTTTTCCATTCTTCCCTAAAGGTGTCATTGTTGTGTTGAGTAAAGCTTGATATTAGATTCCTCAACTTGGCTGTTCATGATGTGGAGAAAAATTTAGAGAGGAAAGAAATCTGACATTGCTCCCATGTTGGAATAGATCCTCTAGGCAAATTCTTTTCCCATTGATGAGCTTTGTCTCCCAAGCTGAAAGGGAACAGTCTTAACTAGAATCTATCCTCTGAGACCCCATTAATCTTTGTCAGATCACAGACTCGGTCAAATTGACCAAGGTGATCAAGTGGATCCTCCATAGGCAGTCCATGAGATTTTGAATTCTGCACCATATTGAGAAGTGATGCTTTTACTTCAAAATTGTTGTTTTGGACTGGTTGAGCATGGATTCCTGCTCTGTATTGATGTGCATTACCCCTATCATTCTCTCCAACAAAGACAGGATTTGGCTCTTTGACGCCTGGGAGGTTGTGGATGGGGCTGTTGATTGACCTGATGCCCTTGCTTGTTCTGGATTCCCTGAGCTTGTCCCTAATGGACCTGTTGCTGTGGAAAGCAAACTCCAATCCCATGATCTCCAATACAACCTCCTTGACCCTGAACATCTGCTTGAGCCTGATGCTCATCTCTGACTTGCCGCTGATCCATACCCAATCTCTCAAGATGTGCTGCTCTTTCCCTTGCTCTCCTAGCAGCTCTCTCTACCAGGTGGATATTGTCAAAGAATGGTTCAGCTGGCTCACAACTTCTACTTCTGGTCCTTGAGATATTGGAAATAAACCTGAAACTTCACCACTTGTAGGTATAATCAATAAAACAAAACATAAACACTTAATCTCAAGAACAGACCAGAGACTAATGCTAAATCCACACTTTGGCAATGGCGCCAATTGATAAAAAAGTGTTTTTAGGCTCTTAGGGTATCAATCCCTTTATCTGTTGTAGCATAAAGAATGTCAATCCAACAATGTCGTTTAGTTCACTAGTCTATAAGGTTGTATCTTAATCCAAGCAATTCAAACAGGGTTTGTTGTGTAACAAGTACCAAATGAAAGCTAAACAAGGGTAAAACAAGATTAAGCAAGTGATTGAAGGCAAGTAAATAGCAAGATGATGATGATATGAATGTGAATGAAATATAGGGTTGTAAACATGATAGTTAGCTAGAGTGCATCAGTGTCTAATCAAAGAGCTAATGACAATGATGATGAATGATTTCAGCAGCTTAGGATTCAATTCAAGTTTCAATCTTTCCCAAGCATCAAAACACAATTTCATACATTACTCATACCTAATCATGATTAGAGGCACAGTGAAAGAAATACATTAAAAACCAATCCTAATATACCATCTATGCTCAAAGCAACATTTTCATGTGAATCAAACAATAGACTCTTGATTAAGGTGGTTCAGGCATTTCATCAAACACCTTTTGGGTGGATTAAATGCGTAAAATCTGGGTTAGAGAAATCATCTAAAACCCAGCATTAAGATTAGCTAAACAAGACAAAAATGCATAGATCTAGCCCTAAGCAACCTTGATCAAACACCAAAGCACTCTAACCTACATATTTAGAACCCTAATGAGGTGACTACTCACTAATCATGATTAACTTTCTGATTTCTTTGCAAGATGGGTAGTTAAGCATAATTAGTTGATGAGAATAGATAGATGATGGATAGATAATGATGAGAAGATGATTCAAAATAAAATGTGAGATATTTCTCGCAAAAAGAGTCTTTACACAAAAGAGGCAAAAAGTTCTAAGAGAATGAAAGATAGTTTCTTAGAAAAACCCTAAAAACTATATATAATCTCTAAGTTCAGACCGGGTCAGCCCAGTACAAACTGGGTACTGACCCGGTTCAGTTGGGTCGTGTGGCTAGTGTGTGAGATAGTCAAGTCTCTAACTCACCCGCACAGACATTCCACACCCCCAAGCGCCTATGTGTGCTGGTCAGCTTCACTTCTCTCCTGAGCTGCACTCCTATGTTGCACACTCCAAGCAGGTTTTTGTGCGGCTCAGTTTAGCTCTTTCCTACTCGCATGACCATGTCGTAGCCTCAAGAGAGTGTATGTGCGAGATGGTCTATGTCATTTCCCATTTGAACTCCCAAGTCGCACTCCCAATCGCTTGTGTGTGCTAGATGGTTCAGCATCTTCTTCACTCGCACTACCAAGTCGTAGGGCCTTCTGGACTTAGCATAATTTGAGTTTTCGGAGTCTTTACCCTGCTCCGACTCTCCTTGCCTGCATCACTCAAGTCGCAGCTTGTTCCCAGAATTTAAACCTGCACTGCTACGAGTTGACGAAATCGCAAAGCCATGTCGCAGCTTTTCTCATTTTCTCGAACCAACCTTTACTTGAGCTGGCATAACTCGTGGGACAAAAATTCAAATGACTCGGGAGAAACTCCAGATGAAACTTTGATGACGGGCTTGGGATCATCCAGGGTGAGAAAAGCCTTCCAGTAAAAGGATCTTTGCACCGGCTCAGAAGGTTCTAGTTTCTTGCTGCAAGACATGTCTGTCCTCCGTCTGCGACATCTTCGAGCTCAGTGATCCAAATGACTTGATTCTAATCGTTCTGGAACGATGACTCATTTCTATCAAATCTTGATGAAGGCCTTGTAAAATTAATCGGAAGGTAAGGGCTTCTTCATTAGTGATCTTTGAGGCACATCGGATCGGTCGGAATGGATGCGAGACAGATTTGTCTTCTGTTGGCCATATCTTTCAGATTACTGCTCAAAATATATTGATTCCAACTGTTCTGAAACCTTGACTCAATCCTCCTCAACTTTTCTGACAATACCAAAGACTGAATCGGAAGGTAAGATTTCCTGGAAAAGCGATCTTTGGTGCGTATCAGGACCTGGTGATTTTGTCGAGGTTTCATGTAAGTATTGCCCGATAAGTGATATGTTCATAATTTGCATCATTTAGGTTGCATATTTCATTCCAAATCATTTTCTATTTCATGCATTTTAGGTCCTTAGGGTTTGTTTTAGAACTTAGGAGTTGCATTAGGTCCCAATGAGTCTTTGCATGTTTTGAGTGTTTACCAGGTGTATTTGGAGCCATTTGGAGCTGAAAAGATGAATCCAGGAAGAGAAATCGTGATCAAAGCTTGAAAGGAGGTTCTCGGACATTCTCGCGTACCAGGAAGGTTTTTCTCGGCCATTCTCACGTACTGCTGGTGGATTTTATCGGCCAAAACGCGTAACGGCTAAGAATTTCTCGGCCAAAATCTCCGGGCGCAGACACGTTTCCAAAATCACTTGTCCGGGGAACCTTCCGGTCCGACTCATCTGTCGGGTGATTCATCACAGTTGGAGAGGATTGGATCACGGTTCCAGAGCAAGTGGAATCATGCAATTCGGACACTTGAGCAGAGAGTTAAGCTCGTCGGAAGGAACTCCTGTCTCGCAGCCATTTTGGACCGACCCGATGAGCTCCGAAGAATGCGAAGGACGGTGCACTTCCAGGCCGATTCAGTTTACGGAGCCTTCATGCGAATCATAGATATTTGAGTCCTCTTTCCAGAACGTCCAAGATCATTCAATTCAGAGCTATGAGCAAGAAGATAACGTTTCCGGAATGGACACATGTCTAGACGCCTCTCTCTGATCGTGTAGATGCACTGCGAAGATTAGCCCTCCAGGAAACCTTCCACTTCCCAAGCACCGAAACTTCCTTCACCAACGTTGAAGATATATGAGTCTTATGTCCTCTGCAACCAGAATCACACAATTCGGACCCATATCCTGGAAGTTAAGCCTTCCGGATTTCGAAAGGGTCCAAGCTGCTCTGAATGCTGCGAGATAGTCTTGCGACCTGGTTAACTCGCAGGCCTGAAGATGAATGCCTGGAAGTTGATGCTGCGAGTTGAGAAGTGCGGGTAAACTATCACTAGATGAGGTCTGAGGCTCCCGAGCAAGAAAAACGCTAAGTCCACAATTGTGCGACTTAGGCATGCGAGTTGGCCGCGCCTGGAACTAAGCCGCACGATTACTCGCAATCTACTCCGACTTGAGCCTGCGACCTAATGGAGATCAACCCGAACACATGTACATTCCCCAGAAACCGCCTTGGTCCTGCGAGTTGAAGATGAAGAAGATTAAGCCGCACAAAGACTCGCAAAACACTTCTACTTGGGCGTGCGGCTAAGACAATGCAATTTAAGTCTCACAAGACAAGTTCTTCATCAACTGCGACTTGGGCATGCGACCTGGGAGATACTGGACCAACCCGCAGGATTTCCACTTTATCCATTAAAGCCGGGTCAGGACTCGTTTTGTTCTGGGCTGACCCGGTTCGTTTTTAGAGAGATATAAATAGTTTTTAGGGTTTTTTCCTAGAGAACTAAGCTTTATTCTCTTTGTCTCTTGCGTCTTTTGTGAAAAAGACTCCACTAAGAAGAGAAATATCGATATTTGAGTGTTTTATCAAGAGAGTTTTAAGAGATCTTTGTGTTTAAAGCTGCAAATCTATCATTATCCATCTTCCCCATCTCTATTTCTCATCATTAATCATGCCAATCTTCTCAACTTGCAAAGGTTTAAGAGAGATTAGTATGATTAGTGAGTAGTCACCTTAATGAGGATCTAGATATGTAGGTTAGGGTGCTAAAGTGTTAGATTAGGAGTGCTTAGGGCTAGATTCATTGATTCATCTCTCTAAACAGCTGTTCTCTATGCTAGATCCTTGCACATCACTTGAGGTCTAGATTCTGGAAATTTCATGCACCAAAAGTGTTTGATGAAATTCCTGAAAGAGCTGTATTAGAGGTTTAAGCATTTGCTGCATGATGATGTATTGTTATTTGCTTGATCACATGATCATTAGAACTGTCTATTAATGCATATTGATTCATATTTCACAAATGATGATTTGGTTTGAAAATGGATTAGTATAGGGGTTAATACCTTCATGAGAGGATTAACCTAGATTAGAGTTCTTAATCATTTGAATCATGTCTCATCATTGTCATTAGCATTTCTAGTTTAGCACCAAAGCACCCTAACCAACTATCATGTCTAGAATCTCATGCCTCCATCATATCATAATAATATCA